GTGGTAGTTCAAACTTCTTTTTTTATATGGTGCGCTGCTAGGTGAAAGCATTTGGTTGTTTGCTGTGGGTGAAGGATTTGTCACTTTCCTGATGTAACTGTGCTGCTGGATTTAGGCCACCCTGGCACTGTGTATTGGTATAATCGGATTAGAAACTATGGGTGTGGCAGTTGCGTGTGCTTAGAATTAGGACTGTTCTCCATTGTTGCACTGTTCGTCTTCAGCGCATGGTCTGGTGTGGTTAAGTTTTCCTTTCCGCTTGGTGTTGTTGTCAAAGCTGCCCGCGTTTCTTGTCGTTTGGGATTCTAAAAAAACAAGATTGTTCTGATAATGATTTTTCAGAATTGTCTGCTCGACCGCTAGCTGGCTCCTATGTGTGCAAAAGTGAAAAGCACAAAAGAGAAAAAGTGAGTTTCAATACCCTTTCATATCTACTGTTTTCCGTATAATGGATTTTGTAGGTGCATTGCGATTCCTGCAAAGAGGAACGCAAGTATCTGAAAAAAACAGAGGAGCTATTAGAAATAGAGAAGAACCGTCTCCTCCGCCTAGCAAAGGAGCGGTCCGAGCAGAAGGCTAGAATACAAGCTGAGGGGGCTCGGCTTCAAACCGAGCTTGCTGGCTTAATGGAGTTTTATGTGGAACAAGTAAAAGCAGGTGGAATTGTCCTCTTTTTATTTCTTTACCGGTTACGTCAAAGTAGTTTATTTAGGAGGCAAGGTGCGCACGAGATTCTTTGAGCGACACCAAATTGGGCTATTTTGCAGGCCGTAGGGTGCACCAAGATTAGGCTGTTTTTCGGCCAATGGTTGACCGATGTCGTGTACTTCATGATATCTATTCCCAGATGAAAAATTTACTATTTGTTTGATATAATACATATATGAACTCCTTATCATCGTCGCCGATGATGCCCCTTCGCCAGCTGGCGGGGGCGGGGCATAAGATTGTAGGGCGAGTAACTTTGAGCCCAGGCACTTCTGCTTTGTTCGGGCTCTACGTTGGTGAGTAATAAAACGTTGTGCTCCTTCTATCTATCTCTTGCTCTCGTTTAACCACTGAACCACCATTACAACAGGGACAGATAAAACCCTAGTCTCAAGCACCCACAAAAGTCTGGTGCATCGGTGGTTCAGTGGTAGAATGCTCGCCTGCCACGCGGGCGGCCCGGGTTCGTTTCCCGGCCTGCAGCTTATGTCTTAGATGCCTCAAAACGGGGCATCAAGACAACTGCGAGGTGAAGTGCAGCAGTTGTGGTCTCGACCACAACTTGCTGCTCTGTCACCAACGCAGACAGCTGCAGCAGCCGCTACAGAAGCCGCCACAGAAACGGCAACGCTTCTGATCCCCCCTCCCCTCCCCCCCTACAACTTCCACAATCAACGTCTTCCTCTATCGACTTCAACGATCAAGATGCCATCCTCGCCTCGCCGTCAACAGCACTCATCGTCACATGCCGCCGTCGCCACAACGCCATCAGCAACTCTCGACGCCATCAAAAACTTTCGACGCCATCAGAATGATACAATATTGGCTGTGTATTTTTTTGTGTGTTGTCGCCGCCCCGGGGAGTATCATCGTCGCCGATGATGCCCCTTCGCCAGCTGGCGGGGGCGGGGCATAAGATTGTAGGGCGAGTAACTTTGAGCCCAGGCACTTCTGCTTTGTTCGGGCTCTACGTTGGTGAGTAATAAAACGTTGTGCTCCTTCTATCTATCTCTTGCTCTCGTTTAACCACTGAACCACCATTACAACAGGGACAGATAAAACCCTAGTCTCAAGCACCCACAAAACTCCTGACCTTTTTTCCGATAAGGAAAGATGTCGTCGACTTTAGATGACTTCGTAGCTGAAGTGATGTCCTACATTGCGGTGAGTGGACAGGAAAAAAAATTTGTGTATCGAAGATACTATATTACTTTATTATTTTTTTCAGCCTAGAAAGTGTGGAGGGCCTTCAACGGTCAGAGTGAAGCTCTTCAACATGATGCGGGACATTTCAGCCGTCCGCAATTGGGCGGATGAGATGGCCGCCGTCATGAAGGCTGAAATGGAAGAATATCAAACTCACAGGAAAGAAGTGTTGGGTCTGATCGACCTGCGTGCAATGGTTGGCCCAAAAGTACAAGAAGGTAAGTTTTTGGTTGCATAATGCCTTTATTTTGTTCCAAATATGTTAAATATCGTGAAATGATGATGCATTATCTTCTGTTTATTTCACAGGCTACTGCGGACCACCACACCGAAAAGTATTGGTGGTGCAGGCCTTTCACATCGTATGGAAAACGCTCCGAGGCGAAGTCCAGTGTTGCAATGTGCAGAGGTGCAATAGTTCCTGTTCTCAATCGCTGGGAACTGGATGACGAAGAGGAATGGACGCGCTTGTGGATCGCACAATGTACTCGCTCATGAAGCTCACCATGAAATCCCTAAAGTCGGACCGTGTGTCATATGGATGATGGCTTACATCAGAGATCCTCGACCCGATCTCGTCTGGCGGAGCCACCCACGCCGACTCGCTGGATGATGACGCATCATGGAAAGGCTACTTAAGAGCCGCTCACGGAGAGAGAGGGAGTTATCTACCCCTGGCTGGCAGCAGCCTCCGACTGGCCGCTGGCCTTGGCCTTATCCTTCCTACCTTGCTTCCCTATGTTCATGCTTAAATACGAATAAACATCCTACTATATATAATCCGCTAAGTTTGTCTGTTGGTGTGTGTGTGTGTGTGTGAATGTTGTGTGTATGTGTGTTTGACCGGAAATTCATAACTTCCTTCAAAACAGCGATAGTGCGCTCAAACTGATAAGTGATGTAGGGGGTCGTGCAGGAACACTATTGGTAGGGGGCAGGAAGTGATAACAGCTGATAAGATAACATAAGGGGCCTTAGAAGGGGAGGGTCGCCAACTTCTTAACGCGCGTCACAGCGACGATGGGACGTTGGTTCCAAGAACTAAGATAGGGGGCAGGATGGAAACATTATTGGTGGGTGGCAGGACGTGATAACAGCTGATAAGATAACAAAAGGAGCCTTAGAAGGGGAGGGTCACAAAATCCATAACGTGCGTCACAGTGATGGTAGGGTGTTGGTTCCAAGAAATAAAATAGGGGCAGGATGGAAACATTATGGTGGGTGGCAGGACGTGATAACAGCTGATAAGATAACAAAAGGAGCCTTAGAAGGGGAGGGTCACAAAATCCATAACGTGCGTCACAGTGATGGTAGGGTGTTGGTTCCAAGAAATAAAATAGGGGGCAGGATGGAAACATTAGTGGTGGGTGGCAGGACGTGATAACAGCTGATAAGATACCATAAAAGGAGCCTTAGAAGGCGAGGGTCATCAAATTCATAGCACCGGCCACAGCGACAACGAGACATTGGTTCTAAGAAGTAAGACAGGGGCAGGGTGGGAACATTATTGGCGGGTGGCAGGAATTGATAACAGCTGATGAGATAGCCAGGAAAATTCACAGCAGAGTTGTAGCAACACTGGGAACTGCTCCAGCAAGTAATTCAGAGGTGCTTAGGGAACATTAAAGGTGGAAGATAAATTCCTGACAGTGTCCTACAAGGGCTTTTGGGAGTCCGTATCTGCTCACATCACCGTAACCAAAGAATCAATGGGCGAAGGCTTAGTAAGTCAAGATGTTTCCTATCAGTAAAATCCCTCAGTTTAGCGGTCGGAATTGCTTCCACCGCTAAACGCTCGAGTTCCCCGAAAAAGGATGTATGGAGTTGTTGCCCAGTGAGGAATGATAAGAGCCACTGTGATTTCGATATTTTTAATATCGGAATCCTTCCAACCGCTATGCTGTCCGATTTCCAACAAATGGTGATTCAAGAAATATGATAAGACCTAACATCGGCAAATGTTCATTAAAAGGGAGAAACATGATGAAATGGGCCGTTTTGACATAGGAATTAGGGTAAGTGTTAGTGCTCAGCACAGGAATCCTGTCAGTTATCAGTAACAAAGTTTAACCACGCGCAGAACTGCGCGTCAGCCAGACTGGTATTAAAAACTGATGTTCTTATTCTATACCGCTACACCCATCGGATGAAGGCCCGTACACCCTTCAATCTGATATGGAGGTCCCGGAGAGATCTTTTTTTTGGTAACTACTAGTAGTTTCTTTCCTGAACGGGGGGAATAGTACCTAACATTTTTTCCTCCCTCTTTAATTATTAATTTTCGCCACCACTGGGAACCAAACCTCATAAACCCCCTTCCCTCATAAACCCCCTTCCCACAGCCCTCCCTCCGTCTTCGACTGACACTACTACTTCTCGAACGACGAAGCATAACGAACGAACGACCTTCATGTGAGTCACAATTTTTTTTACTAAATAAGCTGTATGCTATACCGGCGCAAGGACCTGATCACTCTTTGCCAAAATACAGGTAAAATGCATTACAGCACCGTTATCATCGGCATTACAGTGCGTTCAGCACCATAGAAACGTTTCACTACACGGTCCAGGCGACGAGTCACCTTCAGGATATATAACGCCAGACGAGATCGGGTCGAGGATCTCTGATGTAAGCCATCATCCATATGACAGACTGCACAAGGTGGCCTGTACAAGTTTTGCATAGTATCATTCGGTGCCCCATCATGACGAACTGCGTATATGATATCCCGCTTTACAACTCAAAAATCAAAATTGCAGGACTGACATTTAGGTCGCGTTGAGGCATGGAGGAGTGATACACGCGCGGTTGCAGCGCGCCCAATCTGGAAAGCGAAAAAGTGGTATATGTAAATTGTTCATAGGTTTCTGTCACTTGCTTCCAACTGAGACCGTATCCACTGGCAGACATTGTTTTCCTTAGCCGCTATGACCGCAAGCCTCCCGCAAGCCCCGCCCCTTTTGTCTGGCCGGGTACGAAAAGCAAACAATTGAGTATGAGATCTTTATTGTATAATATGGTAGTCACAATTCGTAATATAACCCAAAAAAGTTCAAGCACTCGTAGGTGAAGATCATAAGCATCTCTAAATGAGCCCTTTCTGCTTCTCTTTCTCCGCTCGTTTCTTCTTATAGAGCGCCCAGTTGTATTCGGCACTCATGTAGGTCATCTCGAAGAAAAAGAAAACGAATTCGCAACAGGTCAGAAAAGATATCCCACACCACAGGCCGAGTTGACCACCAAAATCGGCAAGCAGATTGACGAACTGCAAGCAATCGATGTATTGATTAGGTCATTGGTAGCTGAGCAAAGACCATTTCTGGGATCTGTTTCGTTTCTGGGAAATAAGTTTCGTAATCATAGCGTGACTTGACTCGTCCATGATCGTGGTCAGCGTAGGGCTGTGCAGGCCCACATGTGGAGCCGCGCGCGGTCGCGTCGCGGACCCGTAATCAACAGTAATGCCCCACACTGGGCACTTCCGCCACCGTGAGTGGTTGTATTGATAGAAGAACACTACCCATACAACTACGACTGTAACACTGCTGTAAGAACACAACAGCAACACCAGGCACTCGTTATCACTGAGACCAGGAGGGTGTGTCAGCGTTGTGTGGTAGCGCGGCGCCAGCCCGTCCATCGGTCGTTGCGGCTTTACGCGTTCGAAGGTGATGTGTAGGGGCTGGCGCCGCGTCAAAACCTACCAACGCTGATGCGCTGCGACTAACTTTCGTCTTACTATTGTAGGTGCGGCTCAACCAGTTGTTGCCGCAACGCAACCGCGCGCGAAAGTTCCCTGGTAACTGTGAGATAGTAACTATAGGTGGCATTCTGAAGCAACTATAAAGGAAGCCTTAATCCCCTGGTCATTAAGTTCTTCACAAATCTCTAAATCAATATCGTTGGCAACCTACTCCATAAGCCTCGGATTCGGTGAGCATTTCGAAGTTCAACTGTTCATAAAATACTTCAACCATAGCACCGTTCTCCCTGAAAAGGAACTCGTTTATCAAATTTTAAAGCAGAGACAGCGATTATAGGGAAAACTCCGCCCCACTCTGATGGGTCGCCCAAGAAACTCACTTGTAGTGTTTGTTACATTCGGCGTTTGTCCCATTACATGAGCCGAGCTGGATTTGTAGCGAGAGTGATGGCCATTTTGCCGGCGAATACGTTACCGAGTAGATCGACTGTCTGCATGGCTGCTGACACCTAAAAAATCAAAAAGAGTTACTCGGTGAGAAACGTGTAAGCGGTCGTCTTTCTTTTCTAGGGCAGTAATGAGTAGGGGCACTTACATGAGCAAAACATAACTATATGTCTGATTCTACTCCTACGAGAACAGTGAAATGAGATTTGATAGGAATGGCGTTTATCTTTGTCTACCTTTTATCATTCACAAAAAGATGCTGGGAAGGCAGAACCGTACCTGCATCTGAATGAACCATGCAGACCTCCCAACTCGTTAAGCCGTGCATCGAGACATCTTCCTGAAGAAATTACTGAGGTTCAGCAAAGAAGCCTGTCAAATAAGCCTTCAGATCGTCATCACTCAAGAAAAGAAATGGATGAAAATAGAGTTCAGAAACGGCTGCATAGTCAGTCTCAGACTGGAAATAATGAGATTCTCCAGTTTCTAATTGAAAGTCTAAACTCGGAGCCATCTCGAGAAAGGATGACGAGGTGAGGATC